AGAGAGAGAGAGAGAGAGAGAGAGAGAGAGAGAGAGAGAGAGAGAGAGAGAGAGAGAGAGATGGATGACACGCTGATAATGAGCAAAATGGGCATATGTGGCTCACTCAATCGAGCACTGAACGTGTGGGGCATTGAATACGTCCCCGCTCAGACACATTTGTTTGCACTTGCAAATGCAATGCAAATGTGTCGTTTCAACCTGAGGTCAAGGTCGCGCCTTTTCCGATTCAGATTTTTCATTTTTTCACCCTGCTGTTGCTTTGGCATTGTTCTCCACCAAGAATGCCATCGGATTCTTCTTAACGCTTTTGCGCTTATACTTCTTCTTGGATTCATTGACTATCTTCCTGAAAAAAAGTTTAGTCACAGAGAAGGTGAGCTACATCGTATCAGCCTTTGTTGCCCCCACAACATTCTTAAATCCTTTCATTTCTTTCTTACTATCCCCTAATTCCTTGGTTTTATCTAAGAGTTTGAACATCTTCCCAATATCATTTACTTTAACCATGGTTTCCTTGTCTGCTATCCCACTTTCTTTCAGCTTCGTCCGTACTTCCTCTTTAACATGTCGCTGATGACGAGGATGATGTTTATCACTTATCACAAAAGTCTGCTCTTGACTAGTAATAGGGTCCTGGAGAGAGAGTCAGGCTGCCCCATCATGACCAAAGAACGCACAAACCTCCATCCTATGTAGAAAAGGAGCTCGGAGAATACAGTCATGATCCAAGTTAGGAACCACAAACCCAATTATCTCGGTCCGTAAAGTTCCAATCCGAATAGGCATATCATCAATGAGTCTTTCCAAAGGCAGAAATCTGAAAAAGGATGAGACTTTAGTGAATGATCGAGTTAGACGGTTTGTGTGGGAATATGCGCAGGGAGTGACGAAAGTACTGGAAAGGTTGACTAAGTACAACCTAACAACCACTGGCAGTGGGACGAAATCACTATTGTTCCAAAGGGAGGTAACAATTTTGGGCTTTAAGTGTTTTTTGGAAGGAAGGAGCCCTGATCCGAAGAAGGTGGATAAAATCCTGAACTGGCCTATGCATCAAAAGATGGTCGGGGAAGTACGGAACTTCTTAGGGGTCTGTGGCTTTTGGGGGATCGTCATTCCGAGGTTTGCCAGAATAGCGGAACCTCTTAGAAAAATGGTGCGACAAGGAGCTATGATCAAAGAGAGACGACGGCACAAACACTTCAAGATAAGTTAAGAGACGGTGGGGTCGTACTAGGGGTGCCCTACTTCGACGATGAAAGGGAAAAAACGTTCATCATCGAGGCCGATAACTCCTTCTTGAACTGAATATAGCCTCTCTCAACCAAATTAAGGGTGCGGTTTTCGAACCTCAGTGACCTCTCTTTACCATTTTCATCTCGTTGCACAAGCACTCCCCTTAATGCTATAGGGCCACAATCGGCCTTGATGATGAAAGGTCTCTCCCTTTCATCATCGAAGTAGGGCACCCCTGGTACGATCCCACCGTCTCTTAACTTATCTTGAAGTGTTTGTGCCACCACCTGTCTTTGATCAGACCACTCTAGGCTAGCTCCTTGTCGCACCATTAGTGCGGCCTTTCCAATTGCTCTGGACTTGTTAAAATGACTATTCTATTCTTCCAACATTTGCCTGAGTTCCTTGTGCTTGGTCTGATTTATTGAGCTAACTTTGTTTGACTTTCCGCAGGTTACAGGAGCCGCCAACAGCCCTCCCATGGGTGACAGACACGCGGCCGACCATAGGGTTGCTTGGTAGTGCTGGCAGAACCCATCTACCGGTTTTAGGGTATATCAGCAGAAAAGCCATCGAAGAAACTGTAATGGGCATGGTGCTGCTGCCAAATTTGCAGTGCATTTCGAGGAGCACGGCCTCACTTTTTCCTTTCCTTTTTTTTTCCGGACGGCCTCACCTGTGGTTTTCGTTTAGGGGTATATCAGCAATTGTAAGACCGAAGAAGCCTCACCTGTGGTTTTTGTTTAGGGGTATATCAGCAATTGTAAGACCGAAGAAAACCCGAGGGGCACCCGCGCCTGCTGAAGCTACGTACGGGAAGTCAGACGAGCCCTGAACATGCCTCTATTTATATATTGAGGCCCGACGGTCTGAGGTGTGGTTTGTCACTTTCGTGGTTGGTGGACCATCCGTTGGGGGGGGGGACCGGTTGGTGCAGACGCTGAATTGCTGAGTTGTGGTCTCAATGGCCAATCTGTGAGAGTAACGCCAGCTGGCGGATTTGCCATATTCACATCTCTCACAGCTCTCACATCTCTCACATGTCTCAACGTGTCTCGAAGCCCATGGAATCGCATTCTGTTAATATCGAACAAGTAGATGTGCCAGTTCTTGTTGTATGCTGATTGCCATTTCATCGTCCAATCAATTACTAGTAATTACCACACACACACTCATTTTGCACACAACTCTCATTTCCGAACAAACTGCATCCTGTCACACAGTGAACAAACTGATGCGAGCGTGACAGCAGGCATATAAAGCTTATATCTACTACCGACGTCATCCGCGGAGTTTTGTTTTCTTTGGATCTCCGTGCGTACTATTATTGGCAGTGGTGATCTGCAAAACTTTCTGGTGTCTGATCTGTCGAGCAATTCTCGTTGTCAAAGTCAGGTGTGTTTTCGTCCATCAACGTCTCCTCTTTGTGTGTGTGTGTGTGTGTGTGTGTGTGTGTGTGTGTGTGTGTGTGTGTGTGATTCTCTCTCTCACTGGCGGAAGTGGTGTCTCCCTCTTCTCGCCGTCTTTCTCCTTCCCATCTTTCGTCCGCTATCTGGTCGTCCCTCTGTCCTCCTCGTATTCCTCCGCGACATTCGCCTCTCCCGTTCTCCCTTCTACAACCTTCTTATTCTTCTTCTCCTCTTTCTCTCTCTCTCTCTGTGTCTCTCTCTCTCTGTCTCTCTCTCTCTCTCTCTCTCTTTTGCACCCGCACCGCTCCCTTCCTCACGGCCGCTTGCTTGTTTGTTTGTGGGAGGTGTGGTGTGTGTACTTTGGGGGTCTTTGCGATATAAGAAGGGGTGCCATCTGCAAAGGTTAGCCTTGACCTAAGTGCTGTTTCTTGAAGGGGGAAGGGCGTACGCGAGGAAAGGAGGGGGAGTAGGAGGGAGAGAGAGGGAGGGAGAGAGAGGGAGGGGTGTTGAAGAGTTAAGTAGTTGTGGTGGGTGAAGAAAGTCGGTCAAGATGAGGATTATGATCAAAGGTGGTGTTTGGAAGAACACCGAGGATGAGATCCTCAAAGCCGCGGTGATGAAATATGGCAAGAATCAATGGGCGCGCATATCCTCTCTGCTAGTGCGGAAGTCGGCGAAGCAATGCAAAGCGCGCTGGTACGAGTGGCTCGATCCGAGTATCAAGAAGACAGAATGGACCAGAGAAGAGGATGAGAAGCTCCTTCACTTGGCGAAATTGATGCCAACGCAATGGAGAACGATCGCTCCCATCGTGGGGAGAACGCCAGCTCAGTGTCTGGACAGATACGAGAAGCTTCTGGACGCCGCATGCGCCAAGGACGAATCTTACGAGCCGGCGGACGATCCGCGGCGGCTCCGCCCCGGAGAGATCGACCCTAATCCAGAGTCGAAGCCGGCGAGGCCGGATCCGGTGGACATGGATGAAGACGAGAAGGAGATGCTATCGGAAGCGCGCGCTCGTCTGGCAAACACGCGCGGGAAAAAGGCGAAACGAAAAGCGCGGGAAAAGCAGTTGGAAGAGGCGCGAAGATTGGCGTCGTTGCAAAAGCGGCGGGAGCTGAAGGCGGCGGGAATAGAGATCAAACACCGAAAGCGAAAGCAGAAGGGGATAGATTACGCTAACGAGATACCGTTCGAGAAGCGGCCGCCGCCTGGGTTTTACGACACGTGGAAGGAGGAGCACGTGGCTCAGGAAGATCCCTCGTTCGTGAATGTTACCCTAGAGGAGCTGGAGGGGAAGAGGAGGGTGGACATCGAAGCGCAGCTGCGCAAGCAAGATATTGCTAGGGGGAAGGTATACCAAAGGCATGACGCGCCGGCGGCGGTCCTGCAGGCCAACAGACTCAACGACCCCGAAGCCGTCAGGAAGAGGGTGAAACTGAGCCTGCCTGCGCCGCAAGTATCAGATCGAGAGTTGGAAGAGATTGCGAAGATGGGCTATGCGCAGGACCTTGTGAATGGATTAGATGATGGCGGCGCGGGGGGGGGAGGAGGAGGAGGGGGNAGGGTCCTGAGAAGACTGATTCTGTCTGATTTGCCGTGCAGTGTGTGTGGTTTGACATTCGCGTTCAGAGTGTTTTTTTTTTTTTTTTTTTTTTCCCTAACGGATTCGACTGATATTGGCAAAATGTGGCGATGGTGGACGTGGACTGCTTTTTATCTTGGCTTTGTCAGTGAGCTGTTCTAGCTTTGAGCTGTTCTAGCTTGTGTCTATTGTGGCACAGGTTTGTGTTTATTTCTTCATTAGGTTGCGCGTCTATTCTTCTGTAGGTTGTGGCTATTCTTCATTAGGTTGCGTCTATTCTTCAATAGGTTGCGTCTATTCTTTCGTAGGCTGTGTATCATTCCGTAGGCTTTTCTCGGTGGTACTCAACTCCTTAGCCAGTCATATATAGACGTTGAGCGCCGCCGAGAAAAGCCTTTTTTTTTTTTTTTTTTTTTTGGGAACAGCCCGTTGCACCTGGTAGGACACTCCTACCTATTGGTGGGGAGCTGCGAGAAAAAGCCTATAGAAACTGAGTAAAGGTTGTGGGAGCGGAAAGCTGCAACGGGTGTGTAGTGTTGGTCGTATGGACCGCGGGGATCAAATCATCGCGTTTAACTCCCTCAGATTGTGTCCCGGAACCCTTTTTTTTTTGGGGGGGGGGGGGGGGGGGGGGGGGGGGGGGGGGGGGGGGCGGGCGGAGCAGGGGGAGGAGCTGGAGCTGCTACACGAGCCTTGCTGGCAGGCTATCAGACCCCTGCGCGCCCTACCGTGCCGATCACGCCTCAGCGGACGCCTGGCGGGAAGGGCGATGCGATCATGATGGAGGCGGAGAATTTGGCGCGGCTGCGATCCATTCAGACCCCCTTGATGGGAGGGGAGAACCCTACCCTCCACCCGTCCGACTTCTCGGGCGTGACGCCCAAGGGGCGGGAGGTTCACACGCCGAGTCATATCGTGGCAACTCCGCTTCGAACTCCTGGCGGAGGCGGCGGCGCCGCCGCGGCGGCGGCCGCCGCCGGCGGTAGCGCCACTCCGTCGTCGGTCGTGCGCATGACGCCACGTGGCACACCTGTCAGAGATGAGCTAGGCATCAACGAGGATCTTGATACCGTTTCCGCGGGAGGGACCGGGATGGGCGGCTCGATGATGGGAATGGGAGAGAAGCTCAGGGAGGCGGAGCTGCGGAGGAACGTGCGGGAGAGCTTGACTGGTCTCCCCACTCCGCGGAACGAGTACCATATCGTGATACCCGATCTTCCGCTGAAGGAGGAGGAGCAGGAGGCGGAGATGGAGGAGGACATGGCGGAGAGAGAAATTAGGTTGAAGGCGGAGAAGGCGGCGATGGCGGCGGCAATGATGAAGAAGCGCTCTCAGGTGGTGCAGAGGGGGTTGCTTCGGCCCGCTGCCGTGTCGTCCTTCTCCTCCTCCCTCCGGCGTCAGCTGGATGCTCCCCCTCCCCCTGGTGGTGGTGGGTTCTCCTCCTCCGTCTCTGACATCGAGCAAGCAGATCGCCTTGTCAAGGCCGAGATGCTCGCAATGTTCCAGTACGACGCCGCGATGGCGGCGGAAACCGAAGCCGCTGCGCCGCCCCATGCAGCAGCGGACGGCGGGGGGGCTTCCGCCGCCGCCGCCGCCGCCGCCGCCCCTACCGGCAAGACGAAAAAGAAGAGTCAGGCAAAGCTCGGCGCGCAGCCGAATGGCGCCGCCATGGATGATCAAGCGCGAGCGGAAGCCTTGGCGGCTTTCCGCGTGGACGAATTCGCGGAAGCGGAGCTCAAGGAGGCGGAGAAGTTGATGGCGGCGGAGGAGGAGGTGCTGCGCGCCGCGTGGCGCCATCCGTCGCTCACTGTCGAGCACTTCGCCGAGATCGAGGATGGATTCATAGAGGACTGGATGTATTTCCCTTCGAAGAGAGGGTTCGGTCTTGCCAGCGTGGCAATCAACGCCGAGAAGAGGGAGGCGCTTCAACACGAGTTCGACCAGATTCGCGGTAGGATGGAAGTCGAGGCGAAGCGCGCCATGAAGATGGAAAATCGACTGAAGATCGTCACTGGAGGCTATCAGAAGAGAGCGGAGGTTTTGAGGAGGCAATTAGATGCGACGGTGAAGCAGGTAGAGACACTACACGCCGAGCTGGAGTGCTTCAAGTGTCTTCATCGCCACGAGATACTGGCGGCGCCTAGGAGGATCGAAGGCTGTCAAGAGGACGTGGACAAGATGAAGGAGAGTGAGAGATCCTTGCAATTGCGCTATGAGAATCTGTCTGTCGAGCAGGAGAACTTGCGTAGGATGGTGGAAGAGCATGAGGTGGCGCTGAGAGCTGCTAAAGAGGCGGCGGCGAGAGCGGCGGAGGATATGGAGAACAGGATGGCGGAAATGGCAGAGGCGGAGGAAAGGATAGAGAGGGAGGCAGCCGAGGCGGCTGCGAGGAAGAAACTCGAGAAGGAGAAGGAGGAGGAAGAGGAGGAGGAGGAGAAGCGTAGGAGAGAGAGAGAGCGGGAAACGGAACTGCAGGAGAAGAAGGAAGCCGCTGAAGAAGAGGTCGGCCAGAAGGAGGGGACTAAGGAAACGCAAGGGATTAACGGAAAGAGCGAAGAGAGTAACGGTAAGAAGGAAGAGATTGGCGGAAAGAAGGAAGAGATTAACGGAAAGAAGGAAGGAGGGATGGACGGAGAGGAAGCTATGATCGAGAGCGAGAAAGAAGTGGAGGAGGAGAGAAAGGCTGGGGAGAAGGGAGAGGAGAACGGGGGGAAAGAGGCAGTGGAGAAGATGGAGGAGATGGCCGTGGAGTCGTGTGCGAAAGCGGGCGAGAGGGAGGAACGTGGGGAGGAGAAGGCAGAGGCGAAGAAGGGAGAGGTGCCCGTGAAGGGGATGGAAGCGGCAGGGGAAAGGGAGGGGGAGGAGACTGGCGAGGAGGTGGAGAGGGAGAAGGAGGAGGTGGAGGGAGAGGAAATGGGAGAAAGTGGGAGAAGAGAGGTGGGTGACGAGGGACGGAAGGAGGAACAAGCGGCAAGAGAGAGAAGAGGAGAGCGAGAGGAGGAGACAGACATGGATAGGGCAAGGGAGGAGGAGAAGGTGGGAGGAGTGGCGGCGGATCGCGATGCGGCGGGAAAGGGGACCGAGAATTTGGCGGGAAAGGGGACCGAGAATTTGGCGGGAACAGACAGTAGAAGAAATGACACTGTTGATGAGCAAACGGAGGAAGCTACGGCTATGGAGGTGTGCGAAATGGAGAAGAGAGGCGGCCAGCTGTCATCATCGACTGATAGCGGGATGAATGATGAGGGAAAGGAGGTGGCTGATCTTGTTGATCGTGTCAGAACCGACTCAGAGATGAAGATCGACGATCGAGATGTGATTATGGAGGAGGGGTCGGTGAGAGAGGAGGAGCCTTCGGTGAAGGGTCACATGGGGGAGGAGGTTAGACAACAGGAGGTGGGACGAGGAGAAGGAGGTGGTGGTATGCGGACATCGCCGCTGAGAGAGGAGAGAAGATCCGCAGAACAACATGAGGATGAGAAAGAGAACGGCGGCTCACTGAGACATGCGGCGGCGAAGGAGGGCAGCGGCGATGGGGGTAATGATGATGATGTGGCCGCCGATGAAGAGAGATCCCGATCGAAGATGAGCACGTCGACGCCCTCTTCGTCGAGATCTTCGTCTTCGTCGGGATCTCCGTCATCGTCGGGATCGTCGTCTTCTTCCTCATCGGAAGAGGAAGAGAAAGGAGGAACGAAGGATATGTCGCCGGCGTAGCGGGACATCCCAGGTCCGAATGGGACTGAGACTCGGGGTGGTCAAGAAGAGTGGGGATGATGATTATGATGATGATGAGGATGATGATTAGGATGATGATTAGGATGATCAGGCCATTGAAAGGAGATCGGGATCGCAGGCCGAGCTCATCCATGTCCTCTACGTCTCCGTCTGGATCTTCGTCCTCTTCCACATCGGGATCCGAAGGGGCGGAGGGGATGAAGGAAATGTCGCCGGCGACAAGGGCAGAAGGGGAGGGGGGAGAGGGGGGGGGGAAGGCGGGGGGAAAGAGGGGAGGGGAGGGGAGGTGGAATCCACGGTCCCCCTCCCAACGGAAACGGTTCCCGTACTCGAGATTAAGATAACTCATCAAGCTTGATGAGGTCGCGCTTGCTCAAGGTCTGGTTGGTTGTCATCCCTGGAGCCCTAATTAGCTGGACTGCACATGTTGACGTCACGTTTAATTACAGTATGTCCTTAGCCGTCGGGAATAAGATGGGGCTTCTGCTCAGGTCGCGTTACCCCGACGGCTAAGGACAGGTCGCGATCTGAAACAAAAACGACCTCAGCAGGCTGCTACTCTCCGATGTCGTTTTTGTCTCAGATCGGGATCTGTCCTCCTTCCTGTGCCGCATGTGATGAGGATCATCGACGGCTGGCAGGAGCTTTGAAGCTGATGACGATCTTGAGGAGGAGGAGGAGGAGTAGAACGGGGGTAAAACGCCGCCAGTAATGGCGGGAAGGAGGAGGAGATATCGAGAGATCGAGAGAAAAATGGCGGGAAGGAGGAGGAGATATCGAGGGATCGAAAGAAAAATGGCGGGAAGGAGGAGGAGATATCGATTGATCGAGAGAAAAATGGCGGGAAGGAGGAGGAGATATCGAGGGATGGAGAGAAAAATGGAGGGAAGGAGGAGGAGATATCGAGGGATCGAGAGAAAAATGGCGGGAAGGAGGGGATGTCGCGTTGTCATCAGTTGCAGTGCATGGATTAAAAACGCAGGACTCTGCCAAGCGGTAAAACGATGTATAGAGTCTGACACCTGCCCCGTGCGGAAAGGTGAAAAGGGCCCTTTCGCATGTTTCCTTACGCAGGGTGGAGGAGGGGCATGGCTGCAAATGTCTCTGAACCAAGAGGGGAGGAATGTGGGATTGTACACGGGATGGAAGGGTGGTGCAGCAAGAGAGAGGCTCCTGCCCGTCAATTGGTCAATTGGAGGGAAGAAGTTACGTTGGCATTAGGGCGGTGCGCATAGCAAAGGACGGCGGAAAGGGAGAGAGAGAGAGCCAAACGCAAAGGACGACGGATCGAGACCGAAATCGAGGCGACATCACCTGTGGGCACGAGAGGGAGGCATCTGCGGTGTCAAGGCGGAAGTGATCAATCGGCCTGTACGCGAGGGAGAGAGAGAGAGAGAGAGAGAGAGAGAGAGAGAGAGAGAGAGAGAGAGAGAGAGAGAGAGAGAGAGGGAGGAGG